ATATACATAAATGAACAAGATTACCTAGGAAAGAATAGCGAGGACCGGGTGAATGGAGCGATGAAGATAAGAGAAAGGAGAAAGTTCTCCATCCGCGAGGGAAAAGAAGAGCGGAGTCAGAGAAACGATAGAAAATCGGAGGAACATTTTTGCCATCTTGTTATATAATATATATATAAATATACATATATGTTATAACACGTACATGCGCGTGCACGCGCGCGGACGCGCGAGGAAAGTCGGCGCGCGCGTTTCTCTCGCGTGGTGAAACAGAGCCGCGTGTCTCGATCGGCATCTTTGAAAATCGGTCGTTGGATCGCGGTTCTTTCGCGATCGCCACGAGAACCCCGTTTCGTCTCGTTTCCCTTCGACCCCGTTGATCTTCGTTAGCTCCATAGTAATTTGCGTATCTACGAATATCTGTCGTACTCGGTTCAACGTCGATTCCAGAGATCGACGATGCCGATTCGAGGAAATTTCAAAAGGCGATTATCGAAGATACCGATCCGTTCCTTCGTTCGTCAGCGTTGCCCCGGCCTCGCCGTTACGTCTTCGATCGAGATCGCTGGATCTCGCGTGGAATCGGCGCGGGATCGGTTCTCGCGATCGAACACACGCTCCGGAACGCGCGTCCACGCTCGCGCGCGCGCGCCCGCGTGCGCCCCGCAACCTACCGCGTATGTATATTGATAGCAGATAGCAGAGGAAGAAGTGGAGAACGAAGCGGAGGATGAAACGGATGAAAGACGATGAAGATGAAGAGAAAACAAAACGATTTAATATATTGCAGATACTATATTATAAATATAAATATAAACATAAAATTAAAACTTAAGGAATAGTTATTTCTACTACTCTAATTCGTCGCTTCTACGTGTGATTGTTGTATAAAAAAAAAGAACAAAAAATACGATTATTGATTTATTATCATTGTTATTACACGATTATCATTACACGTTACGACTACTACTATTACTATAATTATTATTAATTATTACCGAGCGAAGC